AGGTGGAGTCTGCGGCCATAACGGATTGCGTCGGTTAAGCAAGGCAGCTTCCTTATGAACAACCTGTAATTCTCATCGAACCTGGCTATTAAGTTGAACGCGAAGATAGACTCATTAGAACACAGAGTCTAATATGAAGAAGAAGGACGAGGAGTTTCACGTGTGTGTCACCGAGCAGAATCCATTGCCATATTGAAGAAAATTTTAAGCCAGGTTCCAACCATTGGCAGGAGCTTACATTACAATTAAAAACATATTTCTGCGATGTTAATTCCTACGAGATTTTCTTAGCTAAGCGACCTAAGCATTACCCGCTCCTGTTAACGGGCTAAGGGGTTTTTTTGAACGCTTCACGCCGAAAAACGTCTCCATATGAAAAAACTACCAATGATGTTGTGTATCTTTCCAGATACAGAGAAATACATCGGTGCCTGCATAAACCTTCTGAATGTCGGTGTAAATAAAAAAAGGATTGCAATTCAGGTCGTGTTTTCGATGTATTCGAAATCCTAATTTCCAATGCTAGAATTTGAAAACATCCACTGATCGTTTAATAACCTTCTTTTCTATATGGAGTATATCTTTTGGTTTAGAAACAAATTAATGGTGGAAGTTGATTGATTACTTTGGTCGGCGTTTTTCAGGTTGTAGTCAATGGAAATTGTTAATGAGCGTCTCATACAAAACTATTTCTTAACAAGTTCTGCTTAGTTCCGCTTGGCTTACAAGACCGGTCACAATTGATACAACGGATTAGGGCAAACAGGTCGCCAAAATTTGAAAAGATGTTTTCCAAAACATAGCGCCTACGGTCTTGTATACAATAAGTAAAGCAGGTAACCATCATCTTACCTACACAATTGCCCCATTAAAGGGTGAGATTCGTATACAGCATGTATTTCGGCTTATTTTATTTACTAATTATTTTGTTACCATTTCTTTTATTATTATTATTCTTTAATTTACTAATTATTTTATTAGGATTCAAAACCGTAAGCGAGTCACCTTCAAAAATACCTTTTCTAAAGTTGCAAACATCTTAGGCGGCTGTAAATGGCGAGATATGAGCATGTGCGAACTTGTTGGAATTCTGCGCAAACATGCCCAATGCAAAGACATTGAAATTTGGGTTTTTTGTAACTAGAGAGCTCTTCAGAAACCTAGAATAGACAAATATCGTCACCTGTATGGACCTGGAAGATCTAATTACGGCAATAATAATTTTTAATAATCAGCTTGAAGTACATAAGAAGGGTCGCCTTCAGCACTAAGTAAACTTTTAATTTTTCTTGTTATAGCTGAGTTATGAGCAGTCCACCTACAAATGACATACTTGTTTACAATACATAATATCAAATCTGAATCATGTTTCTACTAAAGCATCCTCGAGGGCATAAAAATGTGCATACTTCGTTAACACATAGAACTCGTACGTTTTCATTCGTACTAGTTTGAGCGGAAGAGTTATATTGATGAGTCAAGCCGTCTCACTGAGCAAAGAGATGCCCACTGCACACTTCTGCTTCTTTTACAAAGTGGTTTATAACACTGTCTTTCAAAAAACTTTTTTGTTGTGTTCTTTCTGTAATATATCCGACCACGTCCATTGTCTATACACAGAATAACCTACCCATCTATATTTACATGTATATCGCAATATTATACGGCTTTTTCCCTTTACAAGCCCGGCAACGAGCTACGTACTATTGTATAGTCCAGGAGTCGATGCCCAGGACCAAGAATATGCTGTTCTGATCTGTCAGGTCTACAGCTCTGTTCTTCTCTTTCTACAGTAGTTTCTATAGATGGCTTAGCTATTTGCACTATTAACTATTCCCGAGCACGTGAGTCGGTGCACTTCTACTAAACTTCATACCAACAACGTGCTTCGCACTGTTGTTAGTATGAAGGGCTATGAAAACTGAGTAAGCTGAATTGGGCCGATTGAGGCTTTGGTCGAGACCACAGAGGCTTGAGCGGAAGAAGCAAGCCGGGACCAATATCAGCGAGGTCGGAACGTTCAGCAAAGCGTATTCCCAAGTTATCTCCGCTTTTAACGCGCGACCGCGAGCATGCGACGACCCTTTCTCTAAACCTAGGTGATTTAGCTCCGACGAAGCAGTCGCCTGTGATCGGGCCAAAGTGTCTTTGCTACTGTAGGCGATGTTCTAACATCCACTTTCTTCTGTCACTTACCCATACACACGCACATTCTCCTGTTTTGCGTGTTGGGGGCCACAAAGATTTTACTGAGGCAGAAGGAAAAGCGGTACTTCGTTCCCTGTTGGCCACCGCGTCCTCTCAACCCAACCGTTTGCCTATCTTGTGCCCTATGCGCCTCCCTTGAGCCTACTTCCCTTTCTCAGGGAGCAAGATTTGCACGCAGCAGGCAACAACTTAGCCGAGTCACTAGGTACGTAAGACCGACTGCGTACAAAAGTGTTTCCCTTTTTGGCTCTCTTTTGGCTATCGCCTACTTACCCCATCTTCTTTTTCTAATCCGCTTCTTCGATCGCCACGCTTTTTTATACGGTGCCGTTATCAAATCGGTATTTTACATTTTTCCGCTCGCCCGACCTCAGACCTGCATGCCCAGATGCCCGTCACACATCGAGTTCGAGAAAGGAGAAGAAGAAAGGCTTGAGGTATGTCAAAGTGTCCGCCTTACTCCACCCGCATGGCTTCTCGTTCGCACTTCACTTTTTCAATCTTCTTCTCTATTTATCTTTGCCGAAGTTGCTTCCTTCCACTAACGCTGTCTCGTTGAAACTTTTATTTCGACCTCTCGGGTGTTTAAATTTTCCAAACTCAACTCTCGAGTTTTCGTTCTGATCAGACTCCCTCCCAAAACTGCTCCTGTCGTTTTTCCAACTTTTGGCTCGCCGTTCTAAGGCCTCCGGTTTCGAACCCAATCAAGTTCACCTTTCTTCGCAGTGGTGCTACTAGACTCAAAAGGGGGTACCATACGGTCGAGAAATGACAGGACCCGATGGGAGCACCCATTTTTACCACCCACTGTTAGCAGCTGAGTTGGATCGAACCTAATCGATTCGGGAAGCGAGACTAGTGCCGTGCTTGAGCGCTACCCAGCTTACCTCCAGCAGGTACGGCCCATTTAGTTGGTGTCCGTCATCGCCACTACGATCCCAGAGCTACACGCTGATTCGGATTTACTGGCAGTGCCAAATGGCAGCGGCAGCTGAGCGAGCACTCTAACTCGAATTTCGTCATCTCAGCTAGAATAACGATGCAGGTCTGTGTCTTGTGCTGCTACAGAGAGACGGCCATGATATTTATAGTCACGAGCTGGACGTCGTTGCAGACGAGGACGCGCTCATCGTCGTGGCATAACATCGATTTGTCGGCTGGTTGAGCTGGTAGCCGTAGCAATCGTATCGGTTTGTAGCAACATTAATGTCCACATCTGCACATAAACATGCACACGGACACGAGGACACAGGACATTTGCTCTAATATATACTAATTGCAGCATTGAAACGAGTGCAAACACGTCAATGCAAATATCGCATCAGCCGATAATATAAAGCAGAAACGCTTCTTCGTCGTTCGCTGTGATGAAGCCAGCAAAGATATGCTGGGGTCGGCCGAGAGGCTGGTCCTTCCGACCCGGGTTGGTACCATCGAGTCGTACGCCCCCTCCCAGTTCCGAATGTGAATAAACAGTTTGAGAGTAACAGCCATTTGATGGTTCGATCGAACCCTGTCCGCTTGATTTGGAGGGGCGTTCACTTTTCCGTTTCTAAGAAAACGCCTGCGAAAGCTCTATCCAAAGGCGCGAGCTGAGGACCTAAGCCGGGACGGGGAAAAGTTGAAGCGAAATGATGCAGAGAAGACGAAATGAATTTCCGAATCGAAAAGCAGCAGCGACGTGTGAACTTTACGAGGCCACTATGAGCTATTTGTTCAATAGTGGGTGCATTCAGCCCACCTATCCTTGATGCCCATCAGAATGTTTGTTTTGTTTATATGGGCAATACGGTGACAATAAATCGATGACGAAACGATGAATTTTTAAACTTCATGCCGGTTGGGAACAAAAATTACGTCGGGTTTTCGGTATTCCCGAATGGGCTCCCTTGTCCGTTGGTTGTCGATTTATATGGGTTTTCGTTTGATCGTGGAGCATTTTTGAAGAAGTAATCTTTTACACATGAATACACACGTTCATAAAGCAAGATATGCCATACTTCGATGCATCCTACAATATCTTTTATACAAAGATATGTTCGGCTTTAATGAATTTCTTTACATCGCTATCATAAGAGATGTCTGGTGATGGACGTAGCAAATAATCAATCTTGGACTGATCTATATCGTGGCTGACGGCCAAGTTTCTTACTGGTATCTAGTTGTTGATTGGTAAAAGAAAAATAGGCTTGTGATTATGCAGCAGGCTTAGCCACGAAGTTCTTCTCAAGGTCGTTGGTATCTTTATATCATCCTCAACTTCAACCTGTATATCCGCGCTTACAGTAGAAGGAGGTGTATCTGAAGCTGTTCGGTTGTTTTTGGTACAATAGTTTTAGCTGAATGTACTCCTGCATTTAGATCTGTTGTTCATATCGAAACAAAGATATTTTTTTTTTCTATTTCTCTTAGATTTATAGTATACTATATAAATTAGTTCGACTATCAATTATGCAGTGCTTTAAAAATCAGGCTTCCAGTCTAATTTGGCACGCGCTGGTAACTGAGATTTTAGTAAAGTAAGTTGTTCTGGCTTTATGCCCGTTCCTGTTAGCTAACTTTCCAGTGAAGTTTTAGGAATTATTTGACTCAGTGTCACTGTCATGCCTTGCTGCAATGAGTTAATATATTGAAAAGTTATAGCCAAAGCGCACGTACAAAGAAGTAGTTCGATCCACCTGAAAGTCCTGCGTTTCAAGGTCACGTTTTGATGCCTTTCCCGAATTATAACAATAAAAAATCATAATAATTAGTTCGTATGTATTAAACTCAGACGGGTCACGTTCCGTCAATCCCTTGCTTTCTGTTTCTCTATCGACATATACAATGTACTTAATATTATAATGACCGAGCTTCAGTTCGACGTTGAATAATTATCGTGCTTCAAGGCCGCCACTGTCAATTTCCACGCGATGAAATCGGCTCGTTCGTGCCGTTTACTCAGCCCACGTAATTTTTTTAATTTTTGCCCATTGTTTGAAATACCTCCTCCGAACGCAACTCAGTTAACATAAAACAGACACCCCACGGCTGCCTTGATTAAACCCCTTTGATAAAGCCCTTCTTGCTTTTACTACGATTGGTGCTACTATCGACGAAAAGCAGGGGGTATGGCCATACAAGCAATGGGATGTTTGACGACACTCATCACGTAGTACCAATCATCGATCAAATTCTACCACCAGGACATCAACGCAATGGAGAAAGGCGTTGACGAAAAACACTCCTCTGTGACAAATAATCGTATAAAAGAAAGTGTGGCTACCACGGAATACCATCAATAGGCGCTCTGTGTAGCATAGAATTCACATGGGGTTTGCAACAAATGATTCTATACCCTTAGCCTTTTATCACAGATGCTTCTATTTTAAAGAACCTACAGCACGACCTATCGTAGCGAAGTAACAGAAGCCAATTACTTCGTTGTGTACAACAGGTTATTTTTTAATTTTTGGGAATACAATGAAGTCAAACCGGCGCAGATGAAAAATATGGTGACTTGAAGAAGCATAAGTAAACCTTATTCATTTTTTGTTAGACAACAAACGATGCAGAAAGATACGGAGCCTGCCAGAGTCGTGCAGCGTAACAACGCGACCTTAGTTCAGTTTGTTGCACAAATATTTGCTGTTGTCCGACAAGATGCTAAGAAGGTGTCTTTTATTTTGCTGTTTTTTTGACATAATTTCACAGAATTGTAATCTATCAAGCTGCCGTAATAATATTTTCAGAGTCTTTCTTATCTTGTAATTCGGTAATAGTCAAATTTATTTTATATATTTTTACGTGCTGGAACAATTTCAGCTCAGTTGGCAGGGGCTGTTCTGTTGGCGTTCCCTAAAGGAAAGGGCGACTCAACTGCGCCATCATCATGGCAGGGAATGACAAGGAAAAGAGTTTGTTATAAGCTTCTTTCCGGCTAGCTAATTAAAAGACCGAGCGACTCCTCAGAAAGCTTATACCAACAGAGCCACATGTATCCCGGTGAGAACAACGTTTAAGATCATGACAGTTGACGTCAAGAGAGCGGTGGCTACGCCGCTATACGCAGTCTTCGTCGACTTCAGGACAGCCTTCGAGTTGGTGCCCAACGACAAAGTTGTGCTCATGCTGACCGTGGTAGACAGTGACGGCGGAGTGGCCGGCCCAACTCCCGTCTTTTTTTCTACATGGACTTAGCTCAAGCAGACAACGTAAGCCCACTTCCATTCTCCACCTTATTGGAGGGCCTCTTTGATCAAATAAGAAGGCCGAGGAATAGTCAACGTCTTCTTTTTTGCAACGATTTAGTGATATACGGGTCGAACCGGTTCCAGTTGAAATCAAATGTAGCCCGGCTCTACTTCCATGACAGTCTCATATTTAGACCTGACCAAGACGGAGGCTATGAAGTTTAAAAACAGAGACAGAACAGCGGCCATTGACACTTTAAGTTTTGTCAGGTCGCCTCAAGTCTATGTAAACCGATTTTTGTATTTGAGGTTGCCCTCTTCCGTAAACGATAAAAATTTTACTGCTTACGACACCGAAAAATGCAGAAAGACAGCCTTGATCGCATAGGCGATATAATAGCCTCACTTCTTGTCTCTCGCGGCTGTTCTCAGCTTGTTCAGCCTTAAGCTAGCCCCGATCGCAACGCATATAATATGCGGCATTTAAGAAGGTTTTATAAAGAAAAACCTCAAACAATCGAATCGTATTGTTAGCCTCAAAAAAAAGTACTGAAACTACACACAGTAACCCGAAATCTCGTGGCAGATTTTTCTCTGCTGTCCAAATATGTACGTTGTCGTTTTGAGCTTCTAACAAAGAAAGACTTCAAGAGCGGCGATAGGAACTAGAAGCTAACATTTGAGGAGATTGACAGGGACCTTTCTGCCGCTAGGAGCAATGAGTGAGAAGGGACGAACCTACCAAACAGGCATATCGGCATTCGATTTGCCGTGCATGGTTTCCACCAGAGACTTTGTAGGAAACCGAAACTGGCAGTATGCGCAGGTGTTCCACGTGCGGCGGAAATTGTGATAGATATCGTGCCGTTTGCTGCTGCTCGCTGGTGCCATCTTTAGGACGTCCGGAAAATCTCTGAAATGAGCTTCATAAACCCAACAGGAACATTGTAATTTATATGATGCAAAGCATCTCAAATGGTTTTATATGCTTGTGTTGTTAACTAACAAAAATAAAAAACGAAATTTGATCATTGTCTATATTTAGTATGTACTTAGTAATCACAGGGTTACAAATGCCTTCTAATGATCATCTCACCAGTCTTCATAATTAAAATATATAAATAGCAACAGTCCAACATTCATCCTCAATAACGAACTATAGTCACATTATCAATATGTTGTCCTCCTTTATATACATTAACTACTTTATAAACATAACTACCGCGTACCTTTCCTGTTTCCAGTATTATATTGCCATTGCCCGAAACATTGTGACTGCCAAAACGTTTTGCAGATCTTCCGAGTCGGGTTTATTCTGCTCTTTTCGCAGCGTATCGTCAATCAATAATACATCAGTCAGTCAACTCCTGCATAGGTATGTTTTGCCTTAGGTTTCTGTATACGACCGTTTCCTTTTCTATTCTGAATAGTTTTTTCAACTCTTTTACAGGCACCTAATTGAAAATATTGTGAGGTTTTGTAAAATTATATTGTAGAGATTAATATATTCACGAATACGTGGGACTAGAGTAAGCGACGAAGTGATAAAAGCCACTAATTTTCGTCTCGTTTATGATACAGAGCATTTGGCTTCAGAAATCGCTGGAAGAGGTCTTTCAGTCGGTTCGGAGATGAATTCGACAAAAAACCTGAATTAACCCAAAATGTAAGCTGTCTTAATTTTTACTCTGGCTCAATTCTCAGTAATCTAGTATACTAAGCATACTATAATAATATAGATAGAATAATATAATACTAAGCACAGTCCCGCGCCTGCCGAAGCGGTGAGGGCGACCTGTTAGATACTTTGCGGCTTTCATTAGGCCATCAATAGACGAACACATAATTGAGAAGGCAAGCATATTCATTATTAGCACCATAACAATGTACGTACAGGCTTCTCTTCATCGTAGTATCCTATCCAACGTTGAATGAAATTGCGCTTTCATACGCTGCTTTTCTACATAAAAAATTAAAAAACAAACCATTCTCACGGTAGGTCTCTCGAATGACGTCAATTCTGGTTCAAGATTATAAATTCATACAAAGCATTACGATAATATTCAAGGATAAACATCAAGCCAAAGTGTTAATCCTTAGACTTAATAGTTTAACTTGATTATTGACAGTAAGCACGAGTGTCCTATGCGCCTCATCCTAGAAAAGAGCTCAGCTTCACTGGAATAGACTTGACAGGTTGGTAATTATAAAAGCTACACTCACTATGGACAAGTCAATTGTGTCAGGTTTTTTCTGTATTTTCTGTTTCGCTGCTGCAGCATCGTTCTATCAGAGCATGACGCAAACGCTTCCTTCACTCGTGGCCTTTATCACCGACCCAGCCCGGCCCTATCTGCTGCTTAGAAGTCAATGAAGAAAATGGACCATCAGTGAAGCTGGTCGAGGCGAGCAAAGAACATAATTGAGTTTTCTTCTTCCGTTGCTGGGCCTGTTGGCGATGGCAGGGCCTCTTCCGGTAACTGGCTCCCCTCACAAGCGTTGTTTTCGTTCGTTGGCTATAATTCAGCTGCTGTTGCTGCTGCCATCGCCGAAGTCAGTTCCATCCGGTCGCTAGCTCCTTAGCCGTCTCTTGACGTAGTGGTGTTTTTTACACTTCCCTTTTTGTCTCCTTTCTGCGTCACGAATAGCTGTAGACATACAACCAATAACCAGTGGACAATGCAGCAGTCTGTAGTGAGACCACAACGGCGTTATTGGCCGTCGTTGTTAGTATCTAGGTTTGTTCGTTCTGTTCCTTGTCTTCGCGACCGTCCACGACTCAGGCAATGACTTGAATCGGCCTTTATTCGACGTTGTCACTTTTCTCTTTGAGCCTGCTTTCATCTCCCCGCTTTCTCGCCTATTTTCCGCTATCCAGAAATGTCCTTGTTGTGGACCAGCAACAAACAGCTGCACGGCTGCTTACTACCTTGTGGATCATAATGGTCCGATTTTTCGTTGCACGCCCCTCAACCGAACGCCTGCGACGGACGCTTGCCTGTGTATAAGAGTGCAGGGACAGTGAGAGAAACAGTCGCCCCTGCACCGGCGAAGACTAAAGAGATCAACAAGGTCGAGCAGGAAAGTCGATGGAATAGTGACAAGGACGACGAGTTGGCTGTAGAGAAGCCGTAGGGGGATGCGCGACGAAAAGAAAGACAAGAGCTAAGATTAGGGGGTCCGGCAGAAGCAGTCACCAATGTCGCTCCTCAATGGCTGCCGTCTACCAACAACGAGTTAACGCTAATGCTTCACACGCCTCCTGTAAGAGCAACGTGGGATAGAGCTGGCCGCTACGTAAACAGTACATGTGCGACCAGTTGTCGTGGTATTGGCCGAATAACCAACGTATAGGATGCGGTCAAAAGTTGTGTGTTAGTTTTGTCGACTAGTAGGTTATATAGGACAAACAGTAGATTCGACTTGTATGTTCAAGATTTTAACTTTCGGGGCTCTGTACACCGGCTATCTTCTTTTATAAGGTAAGGAGAACTAACCAGGTCGGGCGGGATCCCCTTCTTTGTTTCTGGTACTTTCGCATTTGTCTATATTTATGTGTGTTTGTGTATGTGTGTGTAGAGAATCGCCACGTATTTTTCACCTACAGAAGCTAGAACTTGTCTGTCTCAGACCTATTTTGTCTTCCCAAAAATACTTGGACAGAGTAGAACACCCAAATACGACACGCTTTTTCTCTTTCTATGTTGCTTGTCTCTCTCGGAGATTCTCAAGCATTTATCAACAGAGGTGGCATAATACAGACATTCCTACTGCAAAGGCAAAGACCGGCCACGTCCGTTGCCTGGTTAGCCTCGAAGACCGTAGCCGCAAAGATGACCGCAGTACTCAGCCTTTAGGCCACCCTTGTCTTGTTCACATCGTTTTCCTTTTTTAGTCAGTCGATCTAGCGGTGGGCCTCCTCTAATGCGGCCGTGCAGTGGAGAGCAATGCAGGAAAGATAAATACACAAAGAGAGCAAGAAAGAACGGAAAGTTAGCAGCACAGAAGAAAAGAGATTAAGACGGGTAAGAAAATCATTTACGCTTTTTACAGTTTCATTGGTTAGCTCAGTCAGGGAAGACCTGTTTTTAGTTGGAGAAAATACACGGAATAATTAAGGACGCCACGCCATTGTTTTTCTATCACGGAGACGACCGCGTCAACGTATCCGCAACCGCGAATTGCTTACTTGTGAATGACGACAATGCGTTTTTCTTATTGATATTACTTGTTTCCTCCCACCCGTCACTTTTCTTTAGCTACCTTGTGTGCTCAACCCTTTGAATGGTTGCGTTTCCCAGTTGTTTACTTAGAGATATCCGTACATGTCTTTCGTTGTATGTTCTGATCCTTAGCTCGTTTTTTCCTTGAGTTGTTAAATCTACGGAGCTATGGAGAAGAAAGAGCTATAGCGGCTAAACGGACGCACAAAATAAAGAACAGATAACTGGGCTGGTTACTCTGTCTGCGGCTCACCCCTTTTCTTTCCGTTTATTCGATAGCTACTCCTTTAGGTTCTTCCATAAGTTCTTGCTGGCCTGCTGTTGGTTTTCTATCTATCGGTTTGACGTATAAAGGCGCGCACGAAATTAAGCACGTGCCTTTCGTCGTAATCAGCTGGCGCAAGGGCAACGGCAGCAACGTAGTCTATTGGATGCCCGCAGGTGGCACCCGAAGAAGACCTCATTCAGCCATGGAGTGGCTGTAACGGCAGTGGCGCTGGCGCAGTACTCCGGGTTCACTTATTCGAAACAGAGGACGAAGAGCGAATGGCTCAAACAAGCAGGGCACTTAGTTCTCCTTAGATGCCGCCTAGATTCTGGTGCTTGTGCTGCTGCTGTGGTAATGTCTACTAAATGTCTACTTAGATCAGAATTGGCTTCTCCCTAACCTACAGAATAACATAGCTCGGTTGGATTAGTTAGGTCTCAGACTTTCTTATCCCCATCCCGTCTTTCTCATAATATTCTTTTCCCACCCATGCGCTTCTCTTCCTCGCTTCATTATACTTTGTCCTTGATTCAACTTGTCATCATTTAAACGTGTGAGCACCAACAATGGGCTGCGTTACAATTGAGCTCCCCTATTTCGAATACTGCCACATGTATTAGTAGCAATGCAACGATAAATATACCATAGCAAAATGGCAGAAATAAGCCCTGACGGTCATTGTAGCAGGAGCAGGCATAACAATGCGAAAAAAAAAAGTCCTTTGTAGGCGCTGATCGTGATTGGATGACTCGGTCGAATCATATGAACGAGGCCGGTGCTTCACGGACGATGCTTGTGGAATTCGTGGACGATTCAGTAAAATGAATGTGTCTACATCTCCGCGAAAGCGCAGTGCCCCTGTTTCACATTAGGTTACTTCGTGCCACTTGAAATGTATCTCTATACTTGCTGAAGCCTTAGTCACACTTGTACTTCATGCCTCCAGATAACGGCGCGCATCTAACTGATATATCTTCGTGTTTGTATCAGAAGAAGTGAGTCGGTTACCTATGCGTTGGTCGTAAGAAACCGTTTCTGCAAACTCACAGATACTACGATAGGGTATATGTACCAGTCAGGCTGACAATACTGGTACGTTATCTAGATCTATTTATCTCAACATATCTGTACAAAGACCAACGCAGCTATTATTGCATGATCAATAATTTGTAAGTGTTCAACTATTGAACATGCAGTTGGCCATAAGGCGCCCTCGGCAACAATGATATATGCTAGCAAAAGGTAGTTCTTAGAAATGGACCGTTATGTGACATCTTCCATTGGCTTATAGTCGTAATATATGTACAGCTAGAGCTGATATATTCCTTAAAACTTAGACATAACTTGCTTTTATTTGTATACATGATTATCTATCTTTTGCCTTATCAGACACAACCTCGACGTTATCAATAGTTTTTTATTTTACGTTAGAACACAAGTTCTATGCGAATATAAATACCACTACTTGGAACCAATATTGATATGTAAAATAAGACTAAGTAACTTCCTTTACACTAATGCAGGACTGCCACTATCTAGATGTAGATGAAGACACTTTTGCAAAGTATCGATTATGCCTACCATTCCTTCGATCACTTAAACCGTCTCTCTTAATTCTGGTACCTACATCTAGCTTTGCCTTATTAATGTGTCGTTTTGTTAGTTTTTTTTTTTTTTTTTTTTTTAGCATTTGAGCCTTTTGCGACACAGCTTTTTCTATATGTATTTCCACACAGCGATCGCGTTGACGACAAAGGTTCAAACGGCTCACTCAGGCTGTTATCCAAAACAATAATCGTCAGTAATCCATTCTCAAAATACTGCTAAAATAAAATAAAAAATTACTTTAAGTCGCATCAAAACAAATTTTAAAGATATACTTAGCTTTAAAGGTGCGTTGTTTTTGATGCCCACTTAAGCCTACAACATCATCCGAATCTACGGAGGTACGAAAGGCAGCAGTCCAGTGTTAACTAACTTGGCTTGGAGTATTTCATAGCTTAACGATTCTGGAAACTGTTAGGTGCATGCTGTGGCCTCGTAATCGCGGAACTTCCATGCATCGACTCTTTTTTCACGATTCAAATACGCAACCGTCCCCGGCTTGCACGCTCAAGTTCGTTTCATCCTACATACTTTTTTTAATCCTACCGCCAATTTTTCTCTCACGAGTGTCCCCACCTTTGGCTTCGCCGTCTGCTAGTCGTGACATAAGGGTCTCCTCACAACCAACCGGCATAACCAAGCACAATCAAGCTAACTTCTGCGAATCAGCGGAGGAGGCGAGAAACAGAGAAAAAAAGCCAAGCGAGTAGATCATGCTCTGCAAATGTTTACAGAAAGGGTGTCCTTTTAAAAGGTACTGCACGTTCGCTAGCATCGAGTGGCGCTATGCTGTTGCTGCCTATGCACACACGTACATAAATCAAATAATTCTGTCGAGGTTGTTAATGCTGGTGGTCGCTTAGTAAATAAGAGCTCATTACTAAGTCGAATACGTCGCCAACCTTGGCATGGTTCCGCTTTTCTCCTTCTCTCAGACACACCGACACACTTACTCACCTGTTCCTTTTCACCATCTCCATTATACTTAGCAAAAAGCAAAAAACAAACCCAGAGCTCGAAGTAATCGAGGAAGCTGGGGGAGGATGGTGGGGGTAAATCGCAGTTTGTGCGTCAGCTATACAGTGCACGGTGAAAATCTAAGAGAAGTATGGACTGACGGATGTCACAAGCTGTAGAGAAATGGCGGCGACAGCTGTAACGGGATTTGTGTGGTGGCAACGACGGCAGTGACGACATCGACGGCGACGACGCTATTGAACCCATAGAAAACAAGAACGACGCATGAAGATGGGATAGGGAAGCCTTCCCAGGCAGGCGTTGATGACTGTGTAGAAGAAGTCGAAGGGTTGAACAAGTCTAGCTGAAAAAGAGAGTTCTTCGAGGGGTCAGGACAAGTAGCGGTGCGCGGTACAAAACAGTCTGAACCAATATAACAATGGTCGCTGGAAAAAGGAATAACAACACACAGCCCGCGGCAGCGGTTGGCAGAACTTACTGCTGAATGGATCATATGGTTGAAGCGCGAACCACACCAGAAAAGTACTGGACACAACTGATGACGAGATTTTTCTTACGGCGACGGCAAATGCTGGCGAGGAGACGGATGGTTACAGTTTACGAACGCTGGAAGGGACAGATTCAGAGAGAAAAAAAAAAAAAAAGAATTCTACTGTTATGAGAAAAGAAGCTCAAAGAAATAGTAACTTAGTTTAGGGCTCGTTCTGTGTCTCCTTATATGAATCAACACTAAACGCCAATTGTCAGTCGAGTTCCCGGTTCTTGATGTAAAAGACGCTCTCACTGGTTAGTTCTATGCTAAGGAAGTGCTGGACGAGCGCTATGTCATTATGGGCCGCCAATTTCGTACGCACATGTTTTCTGGTGGAACGTACAAAATTTACGTGTTTCCTAGGAAACCATACGTGATTCAAATGCATATGAAAACGTATGCTAATAAAGAAGTCTATTTGAACTTTACAAACAATGTGATTCTCGTTATATTCCTATAATAAATGTGAATTCAAGAGCATGCCAACTGGCAAACGTAAATGAACCGGATCTGAAAAGCTTTCCAAGCCATTTACAATCTAATCTAATATATATGACATGGTAGGTGATTAACACTGTTATTTTTGCAGAAAATGCCAAAAATTGCTCAGCTAAAAACCTATTTTGTCTCTCTGTACGGTTTAAAGTCACAGTGGCGGAGCGCTTATCCACGTTTCCGATACCTGGGACCCGTGACACTTATGACGCAGCTCCCGCTGGATTTTGGCTGTGGTACTAAGAATCAGACATCGACATCAAAAAAACGAAAAGACGCCAGCCAAAGACAGAGGATCCTTTTTTAAGCAGGCCACTGCTTATTGGGTCGAGCTCCCCATCTAGCAAGCCGGAAGATACTGGCGGTACTTTGGTGTTTCGAATGCTGAGTAAGGGTCTGTGAAACGGTGAGTGTTTCGTGTTTAGAATAAGAAGCCACTGCTAACTCGGCTTCTTCCGTTCCTTTTTCGTCGTTGTTAGAACCGGCATCTCATCGCTTTTATCGATTTCATCCATCCGTTGCTGTCCCACATCTTTCCTTGTGCGACATCTACGTGGGACAGGATCTAGCTTTTGACGAAATGGATGACCCCATCAACGCGCTCCGACAATCGGTGAAACTTTAAAAGAAGTGAAGAACTAATTCTAGAAAGCACTATAGCACACAATAACAGCGAAGACAATAGCAGGAAACGTTCACATCTACGAACGGTTGCGGAATCAGTAAGTATATTGCCGAATAACTAGTAAACATCGCTAAAGAGAAAATCCAGCGCTTGCGCCGAAAAAGGATGCCGTCCATCACCAGGAGTAGCCGCGCGCGAAACGTCGATAGAAGAAGAGGCAAAATGATGTCTTCTACGTTCCTTCCATCATCTTCACAGTGCAGTACATGTCCTAATCAGATATACGTTGCCGATTGACAGAGCTATTGTTTGGCAAAGTAAATCGTTCCTTTAGGCTCAAGAAAATCGTGCAAAGCTATTGTAATTACAATTATATTCAATGGACACCGATTTACGTCAGTACAAATCTTGATTACGTTCACTCGTCACAGGTAGGCCAGCGATTTACTAATATTTTATACATTAATGCTAAGCCTTTTTTTAAAATAAAGATGCGTTTATTTAGAACCGAGGCGAAACTAAATTTGTTTCTTTAAAGAATATGAATGTACGGACGCCCAATATAGATAGTGCGAGTGTTCTTTACGTTTGTATTTGTATACATTGCTTTGTTTCCATTAGGCACGAATCACGTTTATGTACACTAGCACTACGAGCTTTTTCGTCGTGTTTGTGATGTCCAACTTCGTAGGATCTAACGAATTGTAATGATAGTAAACATTCACTCATAATCAATTTTCTTATAATCGGTAAAAAGTTCCTAAAACAATATTAGCACACTTTAAGTATAGGTCAACTTCCTGAATTCATGTCCGGTTCAAATAGCTTTTCACTCCATTGTTTTTCCTCGATCAAGCTTGAAGACAGCTTGCGGTGAAGGAGGTCCAAGATAACTAGCAATTACAAACGTCCCTTGTTCCGATGTTGTCTTAGCTGGATGCACTCATCCACGAATATAGTAAATTCATAAAATGAGACTCTAGTCATTGTGGTTAGATTCAAATAAATAGAAGTTCGTTATCACAATCTTCGGAACATTTAGTAATCTTCATCTTCAATGATGATTCAACCCACATGATTGCTAGCACGATCAGGTCAGGCTAACCTGGACGCGAACACCTTACGTCCGCGTGATGAGGAGTTCGTACAGACGGCTAGAAGGACCAAAGCTTCTATAATTCGTTACGCTAACATCAATACACCAACCAATTTACATAGCAGTTTTCGCAGTTCTTTTAGAATAAAAGTTCAAATACGTTAACTTGCGTAATTCGAAAATGGGTATAATACTTTTAACGCAATTATAATGGGAATCTATAGAGAGTCGCTGTAGGAGGACTATGATAATGACGGAATATTAGCTACCAGCAGTGTCTAACAGGTTGGTTGAGCAACGCAGATGTTCTCACTTACTTTAGGGTGAGATCTATTTAAGATGGCATAGTTATATAGGGAGAAAACATTTAATATGCCCGCTTGAGGAATCAGGATCATACGATGGGCTGCTGATGTCTAGCTATGTCTAGCTCAGCATTGATAGTATCCGCTCCCGCGTATCTTGAAAGCGTGCTTGGAAATAAAGTACTGCTCTATACTGATGAAACTTTCTTCAATAACCCACATGTATGTATCGTGAAGTATAAAAATGTAAATATTCTTACTACAACTTTGACTGCAATGATTGTATCTTCACAACGTACCGATTGTTACCTAGTTCTGCTGGGTGCTCCTGAGCTAAAGGCTATCAATTCTTTACTACCTTCCGGGTAGATATTTGAACCATGAGGATGACTGGGATTTGTTCCTGTACGGCTAAGGGCGTGGTGCAATCCTTTTCAGTTTATTGAAGACCCTTTTGATACTCCTTGCTTAAATTAGCTTGGGTGCAAGTATTACTAAAATTTTGTAGTTCACAATACGATCAAAATTTCTAGTCGACGCATCGCAAGCAATAAGACTAGTGACAAAAAAAAAGTTAATGAAAACAAAAATAAGCCCACACCATTTTGACGCCGCTCATGTGTAATTAAACTGGGTGATTTAACCAATCAGATATATTGGCAATTAAATGAAAAGCGGTATAATTGCGCAGTGCGTACGTACTTGATAAGATGGGCTGTTCAGGGTCGCTATGACATCGGATCCTTAACCGTGGGGTCTCGGGTTCGATACTTATCTGAAACTCTGTGATATATTCAACTAGCGATTTGAACCTTGCACCCCAGCTCACTGTACAGTTGATTTTGACAAGCACGAACGTCATTGTGTCCTCTACCTGTAACGTTTTCGAATTTAGACTAGGCCATGTCGTAGGCATCCTCCGAGGGTTTTGGCGCTTAGAGCTTTTATTTCTTTGAAAAAACAAATAACAAGATCTAATAATAATAATAAAGAATAATAATAAGAAGAATAAATAAAAAAAATAAAGAGATCTAATAATTTTACTATAAGATGAGCAATTTTTATCGTCAATATGCATCATGGTTTTTTCGACGTAACCTTTTAGAGGCCAGTAAATTTAAGTTAGTTGTCTGGAAAGAACTTAGAATAACCATCAAATTCATTAGTTCGTCCATTCTGGTAGTGCGAATCAGCTGTATCTGAGATTCTATTCATTGGTTTCAGCGATTGTGGTTGCTTCCATTTTTAAAAATAGAGGCAAGCTACAGGATGGCCGGAGATGTCACTGATATCTATATTTTTAATAAATTAATTTTAACTTATCGGGAAAAGAGGATCGTTCCGATACTTATCCGGATTGTTCGCATTCGTTTTTTTCAGATTGGTGGGTAAATAAGGCCTGTTTCATTATTGCCTTCCGCTTCCAAGTGCGCGTTTACCGATGGCCGACTCTAATATGGACGCTTTAACGCTGGATTTTTATGGGTTCGAGAGGATCGCAAAACTTCAAGTTTACTTCGGGCTCATAGATGGGTTTATCGGGAGACAAAAACAGCACTTTCGACGCCTGCTTTACTTCGCGTTCTTTGCCGGTGTAAAAAACATATGAAAGCAATCCAGGAAATTAGTTCAGCACACGGGGAGCGCTTTGTAGCGGAAAAGCCTGGTCTGACTATGCACTTCCAGAAGTGGGTCGGCGAATAGGAAAGGTCGAGCCGTGTGCGTTCATTAGACTGAAAATGGTATTCTCGCACTTAGCAATCCGCCCTCGAGAAGTTCCTTTAGATATAACGTATTCGTTGTACGCGCCATACCTACTAAGGGCTGTCTTCGCAGCCGGTTGACCCCGAAGGAAGACGACTAAGAAGTGTTCACAATGCCGGCTTTCTTACTTGACAAACCCTTCTTTGAAGAACTAAGTAAAGTAAAATTTGTATTATTCTTTGTTATATTTGTATTATTTGTAATATTCGCCTTATAAGAGAAGCAATAAAAAGCTCTTTAATAATAAAAAACATCAAGAAAGCGTCAAGTAACAAAAAATATATAAGGGACTGGTAAATAAAAACAAATTCTACATTTGCGCCGAGACTTACAGATGGCTATATTTATATGCCCACATTTCCATATAAAATTTTATTTAGAATTCCCTTTATATGTTTTCTACGCTTGACTTCATCGACGGCAAGGAGTTTATTGTCAAATTTACGAGTACAGGCCTGCATCGATGCGCGTGTGCTCTGCTACGAAACTAAAAAAGGTTTTGATCACACATGCATGTAGTGAATCTCTCAATATGATTAAAGGAATCGAAGATTCATATCCGCACGTTTGTCAGACGTATGCTGAGTTGAGGTCTCTTTTTCATTGAGCTAGTGGACAGAAAATGCGCTAACAAGGAAAAAAAATGACTAACTCTTCCTGAACTGAAGTCTTGCTAGCATCTGTACGTAAAGCGATTCAAGACTCGGGTTCGAGGTACTACACTACCTTTCTTCCACCCGATGTCTCTGGTGAGATATCCGCTATCCTCCATTACTTAGATGATTGAAGTATACGTTTGATTCGTTACCTATAGTATTAAACTTGGATAACTCCAGTATGAATACGAACTGCAATCGTGTAGTTCATTATTCGTGTGTCAGCTTTCTGCAGCCAGCTCTGAAATTAGCTCAGCAAGTCATTTTAGCCACCTTTTGTGCCTGGCTAAGAAACACTCCGTACCTTATGTTCAGGCTAGGGGGCGTACATTGCTCGCCACACGATCAACTGAAACCTCAGTAGCGAGTGAAGTGTTTTAGGATTGCCGGTCAGCTCGGTAATAATACTCGGATTCACAGAACGATTACGCCAGTAGAATTAGCAGACAAACCTCGCTTGGTAAGATAAACTTTTTAGAGCATTGCTAAATCACTTATGTGACGACCGCCGGTAACTGAAAGATGGAGGAACGCCAGTTTTTGCTTCGGCAAAACAGAAAACAGCAAGACGCCCCTGTTCGCACTTAAAGGATTTCTAATACGCCAAGCATGGGTCGTAGCATGCAGGAGAAACTTGTTCGAAATCGATTAAAAAGCCAAGCGCTTCTAAAGCATTCCCATTGCTTAATAGACGCTCTTTGGATGGGTCAACATCATCTTAACTGACAATTGTTAGGCAGTTTCGTAATACGATGTGCTAAACATAAGTCTTTATGATATTGCAGATATGACAAACCAAGCATAAGAAGTCCGTACACAGTTTTGCTGACAGTTCTTGGAGTAGCCACTTATGGCTACCAGTCATCTACGATCCGACTGATACTATGCTTCCTCACGCAGTTGTACAGCGTATTCCAATATGAAAGTTCACACGGTTATGGCCAGTGAGAAAGGGCAGAAAAGGACAATTGTGCTTGTACTAACTCCTTCCTATAGGTCGCCTGATTTCCCTATATTCACCCTTTAGCTAAATATGTTATTCAGTACTTTTTACCTATCGTAACTCATAAACGAGTGAAGATGAAAACATACATCAAAGTCTGTCTTTACTGTTGCCCGATAGCCGCATATTCGATTGAGATGTCCTCACAATTCTATTAGGGTCGACTTCAAACTTCAATTTGCCTTCTCGTCACATTATTTGAAGTTTGGTCGAACTCGTTTCTCTGATGGCCGCTTTTTTGAAGCTACAGCAATAGCTGACATCTACGAAACACGTACGAAAACCACATAAGAGGCATATCTTACACATTTGTATATGACGAATATCTTTATTATTACCAAAAAAAATGCTTACTGCAGAGCGATTCGCACATACATATTGCTACACGAAACGTAACTTCTACTTATAAATTTAATGCAGAATGACTCCATCCGTGCCGTTAGGCACAGCCTAGTGTGAAAATGGCCTTACCATGAAGAATCTGGATCGTTATAAATAATTTGTATACAAAGGCCATTTTTCATTCATATAACCGAAGGAAGCAAAGCTCTTTGCAGAGGAAACGTATATATATACTTTGCTTTATGCTAGTGGTGTATATTTCATAAGTAGTAACGACGGAAATTGAGGAACCGACTATTCGATCCCATACACATGCAGTCAGCTCGGTAGCTATCAGTTCATCGCTTGCTTGTTCTGTTTACTCTGAAGATTGTTGATCTGGGATGTGGCAGAAGTGAGCAATCGTTTTTTATTTGTTAAGCACATAGGATGTTCTGATGAGAGCAAAGTTCCGCTGAAGTTAATTGTCAATGTCGTCATGTGTCAGATATACAATCGGCCCTAGGAAGAACTATTTACACAATCAAATAATATCAAAGTCGCCTGTAAAGCATACAAATATGTACAGAATTGAAACTTATATCGTAGTATTTATTTTGGCTGCAACACCGTACACAATTGAAGTTAGACGTAGAAACAGCTGAGGAACAGTTCTGGCAGCCCCTATTATACAGTTGAAGTACCTCACGAAAGCACCGAGGATAATGTTCATCTCAACTGTTGCGGTAAAATGCGTCAGTGTTGGCAATAATGTATAGCGTTCAAATATGATAAAAAATCTGTGTAGACATTAGATGTTGTCTAGCCTTGCACAATATGGCAGTGCATTTATCTAACAGAATTATTCCAGGTCCTTTCCGTCTCAGCAGTATTCGTATTTTTTTTTGTTCAAAGTGACCCCTTTCATTTGACGGTATAATAAATTTAAAGCCAATCAGCCAAAGCTTAGGGTACCATTTTTCAATGATGGAATTTAGTGTATTATTTAGCTAAAGAATTGTATTCTACTGACTTCAAAGTAACTTTCAACAATTTAACTAACTAACTCACTATATCGACACCGTTTGTATCTGCTCCTCTTCGTCCTATCAAAGGCCGCATTCTGTTCCTGAACCAGACAGTGGTGTTACATTCAGTAAATTAAAACGTACAGTCTAGCTAACGTTGAACGTAGTTCAGTTCCCCTCATAGCCAAGGTTTAGCTGCGCTCGAGATGACCTACTCAGCTAGCCACCTCTGACTAACTGTTCTTTATGCCTTCTTGTAGGCTATTTTAGACGACGTGTTTTGTATCACCCTGCGAGTCATCCTAGAGCAGCAGTCCACTGGACCTTAACATTTTTGTGCAATTGGTGTTTTCTCTCCAGCGTAATGTTCGCAAATGACACGGCTTTCAGAAGTGGTCTAGGACAGCGCAAATGATGTGTTTTCTCATCCGAGCAAAAGGCGACGGGGCCTGCCAGGTCTAGTCACTGCCTCCAATGTCAACCATTCCATGCGGCCAGCCATGTGGGGTAATAGGTCAGGCCATAGCGTCTCACTTGGGTACCTTTTCGCTTTGCGTGCCTGCGTCAGTCCGAAGACACTGAACCTGGCACACTCGCTTGTGAAGCAAAGGTAACACACTTGAGTCCTGCCGATGGCGCGATGCCTCTCGGGCGCTCTACGCTGTCTTTTTTAAGACTCGTCGTAGTTTTGGAAACGCGCAGCGCAAACGGTGAAAAAATGAAAGGCAGCGAAAGTGAAGAGCTCACTTCACTTAGCCCACGCGTTCCGCACGTGCATGCGGAGCGGGCATAATAGCACATGTGGATGTGTGTGTCCATGTATGCGTATGTCTGTATCCATGTGCCGGTCTTCTCGCAGCGAGTGGTTTTAAGGACTGAGGCTTTCTAGTGCGTCGAAGAGCGAACTGTCACTCGCTCGATCGCTACTACGTTGCACTGAAACGCGCAGCACTGGCTCGCGCGCCGTCAAAAGTTGTCGGCGAAAAGGGTTCCATAGAAATAGAGTGGCACGGGATATATAGAGGAAAAGGAGACACAGTTCGTTGTATATGCAACGGTCAGGCCATTTCTTCGTACTACAACTGTAAATCAACAGGGCAGG